GGCGAGCAAACCACCGCTCACTCCTTAGCTCCTGACATGTTGTTCGTTTCATTGGTGGTTCGCTTCCCACTTCAAGAAGACAAAGATTGAAAGCACATTCACATTCACATTCAAAAATTAAATAGAAAGCACATTCACATTCCATCTCCCCTCCAGCCGTGAGTCTAAAACACCCAACCAAACAGATCCACACCCCTGGGGCCGCCTGGCCCGGCCTTCAGCCTCCCCTCGTTCGCCGCGACCGAGGTACCGTCTCCGTGGTCCCCGAGAGCCACCAGTTGGCGGCGCTGGAAGCGCCGCAGGACAGCGCGGAAGGAGCGGAGGCCGGCAGATCTCAGCTGAAGGAGGTTGGTACATTGCCCATCTGAGAAGGTGTGAATGATAGAGATGACAAGGCAGATGTCATATGACAAAGTGATAAGTGATGTTGGTTTCTGGGAGGGTGACAGGTGCCATCAGTTGGAGATTTCACCATGGTACAGTACACATCTTTCTGCATACCACACATGGTCATTCGGGGTGAAACGCCGCACCCTTCGAACGACCACGGCACAGGCACCACCCGCAGTGACTACCACGCCAGTGGAGCGTGTCACCGACGGGGGTCCTGGTCGGTGTGTTCGTTGGATCAGCTGGGCGAGCAGTGTGAGAAGCTGGGGAAATTCCCAGTTTCTCATGGTCAAGTACTGTAAATGTAGACTCTTGATGAATAACTCCCCTATTTGAAGTGGAGAATCCTCTTCTAAAGGTGAAGTTTATTAATCAAGAGTTCATGAATCACGGTGGAGTTTATATCTATCCGTGCGAGCGAGGGGAGCTCCACGTCACGTCCTCCGTTTCGTTGCGGTATTCGGGGTGGGTGCCGGGTTCAAGCACCAGTTGAGGAGGCATTTGGAGCCCTAAGGAAGGAGAGTAAATGAAAGAGGATTAATAATCGCATGGGGATGGGAATGAGAAGGATAGCTATAGCTTGAGAACTAGATGTTTGCAGCAGCAGGTGAGGCTTTTGGAGGGATGAATGATTTTTTGGCGATGTTGGGCAATTTGCTCTCGTGCTTAGACCCGGTTGGAGACATTTTTGTGACATGACACGGATGATCCGCGGGCTAGCTTAGGCAGAACGGTATACCGTTCCAGGGTGCAGTGAACTAGCCTTTCACTCACATGTCATGACTTGTATTCCGCATTGTGCGGTGGATTCATATGATTTCACTGAAGCTGCTTTTACTTCATCTTGGAAAGCGGGCGAGGGAAACAGCATGCCACTCGGCGAACTAACAGTCGGTTGGACCCCTGTAGGGTTCAAAGATGCACACGGTACACACGGTCAATGGAAGTACACATGTTCCATACATATCATATATCCCTGTATGGAGTGTTTTGGAGTTCTATGTTGATCACCAGCTCTATGTTGATCACCAGCGACACATTTAAACAAAAACATGAGTCACGCATCCATTCACTTCCTTCCTTCCTCGCGTTCAGACGAACCTCATGCTTTTCTCTACGACGAACCTCATGCGCGGGTCCCTCCTTGAGGCGGCAATGATGGAGGTCCTGGCACAAGAAGCCTCCTCGCGAATGCGATTCCAGGCGAGTCACCCGACGGCCTCGTCACCGCGGGCGTGAGCGGTCGTCACTGCTCGGCTCGGTCGGCGAAGAAGACGAGGGCATTGGCCATATCGGCGTGTGTATGGAACACATCCCGGAGAACCCACGATCGCCCTGGCCCTGGCTGGGTAGACTGGTCACCGGGTCTATGTTTTAGACCTAACCGGCGGGGTCAAAAATGACGGGGTTGGTATCCCTATGTTCATACACGCGCCCATATGCTTTGGTGGTTTCTCTAGAGTTCGCTTTCGGGCCAAGGACAGGTGCAACGCCTGCTGCTCGGAAGGCAACCTCAATATGTCCCTATATGGATCCACATACCTTCCGAGAAGGTGATTGGAGACCAGTACTCCATGTGACTGCATGTGTATATATATATATAGGCTTGGAGGGCCCAGTCATACCTTCTGAGGTTCGGTGGCAGTGGATCCATCAGGTGCTGCAGATGTTCAACCCTTCCAACGTTCGGATGATTGAATCCAAGACCTAATTGAACCCCACTGACTCCAACTCGTGTTTCTTCGGGAGGTGAACACCACCCACCGCGCAGTTCCAGTTCGATCGAACCTCCGATCGAACCTCCTCTCGCCTTCCCAGGCTTGGCTGCAGGCGAACAGTGGGAGCCGGAGCTGGACTCTTGTGGTCTGAATTGACCCGTTCGGATAGCTATACCAGGACCCTCCAAGCGGTGTGTCTAATTATAGCCCCTTAGCTGTGATTCGGGGTGTCCATGAACCACCCCTATGCCAGGCCCTGGTACAAGGGCTCCGTTCGGCCAAAGATACATGTCCAAACTCACACGGACCCTCTACCAATGGGTTCCTGGAAGAGTGTAGACTCCTCTACTAACCGACGTGGCTTTGAGGTTCCATGTTCATTTGCAGGGGAGTATGTCCTGTAGACACTGGATGAAGAAGAACACCCTTGAAGAGGTGTTCAATTCCAAATGGGTGTGGTTTAATTTATCAAGAGTCCACGTTAGCTCAAGATGTGATCTTCACGTGTCTTTCTGCTCAGTTCAATGTGCGTTTGGTGAATGATTACATCGGCGATCTAGATTCTGGTGAAGGACGCTCCAGCGGCCCAGTGGAAGTGCTACCCAAGCCAACGAGATGCATTTGCAGCAGCAACCGGCATGTTCCATCCTGCTTGAAGTTCATAGTCACTGGTGCTGTTGTGCAACATATTGTCCAATTGTGTTCTAAATCAACGGTCCTCCGGTGTTGTTAAACGCATTTATGTCGATTGGTTTCTGCAAGTGTTTGCACCTTGTGTGACTGAATGAAGAATGTTCTTCAGCACGGAGACCTAGCATTTTTCGTCTCAGCACTCTGAAACTCCAACCAATCGCGAGCGTTTTCAGAGCCGAACCAATTTATGGAATCAGTTGATGTTGAACGATTTTGGACGTCTGTTGCAAAACCTTTTCCTGAGAATCCACCTGAAAAACCAGTAGAAATCACTGACTCCACCCCAATCGTGCTCCATGGCGGCCACTCCACCCAACGCCGCCATCGGTGGCATCCTGCCATCCTGCGCACGCCACGCGGGGGGTCACAGTGTCGTACCAAACGCGAGTCCGTGCAGCTGTAGTCAGTGATTCAGAGATCTCGAGACCAATGCACGGACGAGTCGTTTTGAAGAGACACAACTTTATCAGATTTGCCAACAAGTCGTCAGTTGTGCTTGGAGGTCAAGACCAAAAGGGCTAGATGGCAAGAAGATGCAAGAAGCCTGACTGATAAATTTATAATGCAGTATAGGCGTTATAGGCCCAATCTGGGCGGTGAACATATTTGGATCGACATCCAACACGGGATAAGCCCAATCTGGGCGGTGAGCTTTTTTGGATCGACATCCAACATGTCATGTTGTATGGTCGATTGGAATTTGGTCTGAACCGTTTGCTTTATCCGGCTTAAGCTGTTGAATCCAATTGAACTATCTTGTTTCCACTTGGAGACTCGGAAGCTTGATCCGATCGTTTGCTCGTTTCTGTGCGTAAACGGGATGCGATCCAAAGGCTATGCGATGGAAGGTTTCGGAAGGTCAAGAAGCGCATGCCCAAAAAATCATGCCAAGGCCCTTCCTCCGCGCTTCCCCGTGCGCGCCGGGCGCACTGCGTGGGGAGGGGCAGGCGATGGATGGGGCAGGTTCTTGGGGCTGGTTCTGGCGCAAGAAGGGAGGAACCAGCAAGTTGCTTTTTGGGGTAAAGTCCGTAAAGTCCTTTGTGACTAAATGTTGGGTCTGTCCTATTACCTGTAACAGTCAGTATAAACAACTATTTTTGAACAAGGTCTTCAACCAGGCCATCATCATCCACTATATGTGGTATGTACCGGCTTCCTGACTTGCGGGGGGTTCGCCAGGGCAGGGGTCCTGCCCGTTTGTACCGTACCAGCCAGCAGAAGTCGATCAGAAAGGCATCTATTAGCCATGCCACTTGCGACCCCTGTGTTCATCCAGAATCCGCAGAATCAGGTTGTCCTACATGTCCGTCATGATGACATGCTTGGATCTTTCCCTTGCTCCCTTGCATTAGCTCGGGGGAGGTCTCTCTATTAATTTTGATATACCATTGACATACCCATGGGTGTAAGTCGCGAGCCTATCAAACTTTCTGAACCCTGCCCAAACTGTACTGGACCCCGGCCAAGCTGTGACGCGCTGGCACAGGACCTTTCATGAAGCAGTTTCGCTTCATCCAGAGAGGGCATGCGGACCCGTGAAAGATGGGGGCCTCCCCAGATGGAACCATATGCTAAGGATCCACATACCCTTTAAGAAGGTGATTGGACCCTCCTGGCGCCTACATAAAAGAGTCTCCAATCACTGTACCTCAGAGGGTGTCAGTGGATCCCTAGTTGGGAATTGAGAGGCTATCAAACAGACGAAGGGTCACCTCTCATGTTCCAGACCATTTGATCGGTATTTGCAACAGGGATGAAACACAACGACTATATACTGCAGGGTGACTACCTGGACCCGACTTCAAGTACTCTAGAAAATGGGACATGGCCCTATAAAGAACAGGTACGACTGGGGCCCCATTTTCTGAGGTACGAACGGGTCGGCTCCAGGTACGATCCTACACATAGACAGCAGAATTGTTTACCCCGAATCCTGCAAGCAATCCGGTCATGCTCCAAAGAGTGAGCCAAATCTCGCCTGCTTTCCGCCAGCTGTATTGAAGAGTGCCAGATATCACACGTGGGGACTGGAGCTCAGGACATGTCTCAAGCTTCATCGCATGTTTGAACATCAAAACACTGAGTTGACTGAGTTTACACATCTCAAGAGAGACTCTGCAAGTAACACAGCGAGGTTAATTGAAAAAACAACTATCCAATTGCAAGCAATCAACATGGTCCAAGTTGCAGAGTATTCCACTGCCATCTGACTCTGCACGAGTACGTCGGACCGATCCATCGTCCATCGACTGGGAAGATCGAGCGCCACCCACGCCACCGAGTGGTCCGCATCCGTGGCCATGGAGGAGAGAAACTTGGTGACCTGGTGAACATGCGTCCGCAGGGTGATCTTTTTTGAAGTCTTTTATAAACAAATCCCGAACTGGTGAACTCCCCAAAACCGAACTAGGTGAATTCAGATGTGAAGTCGTGTTATGTTTTTCTCCAGGTTCCTGGGGAGCCGCTGAACATCCCAGGTGATGTTTCTGCTGATCGTGATCTTGGAAGGCTGGGACCACCGCGGACTCTCCCCACCGTGTGGGCTGGACGTGGATGTGTTGAACCTGGACCTTCCAACAGGTGTGACGTCCAAGTGATGTCCAAGTGCCCAGAAACCTGCTGTGACAGGCTCTTCTTCAAGCCTGGCCAGGAAGGTGCTGGTTAAGATGTTGTTCTCCTTCTCCCCTTCTCCCAGAGGTGTCACAGGTGGCCAGCGAAGTGGATGACTAGAGACGAGGACGAACAGGGTTGGCAACTGTGTGGTTGTGACGTGAAGGTTCCTCAATGTATATACAGTGAGAGGGGGGCCGGACATGGCCTGTTGTTTTCCAAAGGCTCCTCTAGGACCACAAAATATGGAGATATACGGAGATATGCTAAATCGAGGTCATCTTCCATGGTCTTGTTATTCAACTATAGGCTTGTGATACCAAAGAGATGTTTCCAACCCTTTCACTATGCATTCATGAATACAGGTTCCCTTTTCCTTGCGTCGGCCACTCAAAAAGGAGTTGCACAGTTGATGCGTTGCATTTGGTCTGCCACAACTCTACTTGCGCCCACGCCCATAAAGTCGGAGCCACTTGGCACACGGCTTTGACACACAGCGTCTAAGCTCGTGCCGGCAGTTTTCGTGGTCCTCTTCCTCCTTTGGAAGCTCTTCCGCTTCTGCCGCACCGTGGCACTGGCCCAGCTGATGGAGATCCTGCGCCAAGGCGATGGGGGCCCAGCGGGATGGACCGAGAAAACAGGTGGCCAACGGTTGAGGTAGAAAGAAGTCTTATAGTCTCTCTCTCTCTCTCTCTTTTGCTATACCTGGACCCGACTGACCCAGTAGAAAATGGGACATGGCCCTATAATATGAACAGGTACTTGTACCCATTTGCTGAGGTACTTGTATCATATGTATTATACGCAAAATGTGTAGTGCTGTAGTGCATGCTTATATGCATGACCATATGCAAACATATTCATCCCGTGTGAAACCATGTGACCATGTCATCGGCGTGTTTGAAAGTCCTCATCATTCCGAAAGGACAAACTTCAGATGCCATCATCGGCTTGACCACTTGATCATATACTAGGGCTCCTGACCTACCTCCTGAGAAGATGGTTGGGGTGTGTTTGGAGGGTCTAACCACCGAACCCTCCGGAGGATATGGGCCAGCAGCCCGGTTAGTTTGATCCAATCAATCTAATCCGACTGAAGCCAAGAAAGAAGCCTATATCCCACCCCACCCATTGTCCACCGACGTTTCGGACTCCCACCTTCACCCATTCACCTGCACCGTCCTTTGCTTGTGGGTGGACGTTCCTCATCGCTTGGGCACCGCCAGGCTTGTCCAAGCCATTTGCCAAGCGGAAGGTGGACCCACGCGTGTGTGAGAAGTTCCATCGGATCCAATGCATGCTGGTGCTCAAAGGTGCGACGCGCGACATCGCACGAGCGCGGGACGCGTAGAGCACATCGCGGAACGGAGCTTGCGACCGTTCCGTTCCGAGCTTGGCGGTCTTCCGGGATGGAAACCCAATGAATCCATGGCAGATGGGACTGGAGGATTCATGAAATTGTGTCAATCACTGTCATACACTTCCCAGACGCTCCATGGGATTGCCATGTATGCCTATACATTGGGGTGGTTTTGGGGTGGTTTAGGCATCCAGTCCCATGGAGTGTATGGGCTTGATCGGAGTGGCATTTCGAACTCTTCTCCACCGTTCCTCGCCACGGCTCGAGACAGCCGCCGCGGTTCACACCGCGCCGCCCAGCGGGAAAAGCTGCGTCTCGATCCGTCGCGAGATCGAGTGCTACGCAAAGCCAATGAGCTTAAGTGCTAAAACTTTAAGGCCAACGGACGCAGGCAGAAGACAGACGTGACGTTGGAAGCAGATCAAATCCGTCGGTCTGGCTAGCCATGGCAAGGAGAATTTCAGTGCTGCAGCCGAATGGTGAGGTCATGGTTCTGAAAGTCATGCCCGAGACGACAGGCCGAGCACTCAAGCAGCAGATCAAGGATCAAAAGCCTTGGGATGAGCTCACTCGAAGCACCACAGGTGTAGAGATTATTGGTGCAGACAACCAATTGCTGACAAATGATGCAAAGGTATTGGACGCTGAAATTGCTGAAGATACTGTTGTGAGTGTTGTCTTCAAACCAAACAAGGTAATATGCTCCAACAAGTATGCGATCGCCAGTCTTGGTGGAATCGTTGACTCAGACCTTTTGCTTGTGGTCCAAATCCCAGATGATGAAACTCACATTAATGAAGACGCTTTCCAACATTGCAGCAGATTGGCCCAGTGTATTATCCCGGACTCTGTGACCCACATTGGGGATGCTGCCTTCGCGCATTGCAGCTCTTTGGCAAGCTTGACCATCCCGG